AGTTTGGAACAGGAGTTAAATACACTGGTTTGCTGGAAGAGCCAAAGGGGCAGGTGAGAGGTGAAGCTGCAGGTGCCCTGGGGGCTGAGCGCTGCGACACAACGTCCTCCCGCACCCTGCCCGGGCAGGTCACAGGATGCTGCAGGTCACAGACGGACCCACAGGAAAGGTGAGAGCCTCGGGATGTGTTGGGCTACGGACTCGTGGAGTTCCCTCTGCTGCTTCCGCTGGGAAGAAGGCCATACCCGCCCTGGAAGAGTCTAATTTTAGCCGCTTCTCTGTTTCCTGCTGCTTGTATTTTCGGTTCTTAGCATTTTTTTTCTCTGTTTTGTTTCCCACTATGCACCCAACAGGAAGAGCTCCTCGCAAAGTCCTCCTGAGTAAGAAGAAGGAAAAGAGGACATTTGCTTCCTGCAGGCAGAACTGAGAGCAGGCAGCAGCCAACACTTCCCCAGAGCCTGTCACCACCTCTGCTCTTTCCATGAGAAACAGAAAAGAAATTGGATCCTGCAAGAAAACCATTTTCCAAAATGCCAGAGACTTCAGCATAGTCTGTTCACTCTGTGCACTGACTTCTCCAGCCAGACAAGACTCAGGTCTTGCAGTCCATAAGCTCAGAAGCGTGATGCTCAGGCAGTATCTTGGAAATAAAAACCTGTATTGCATGGAAGGAACACCATGTGCACAGCACACTTTGTGGTCTCCAGGTGCTGGGAGGGCCACCAGAAACATCTATGTTGTCTTCTTGAGGAAATGTGCTGGAAAGACATGCAGAAGAGGCTGCACAGAGGCAGCTTGGTCATCATAGGACCATGGTCCTCTCTTCTGTGAGCAACCTGATTGAGACAGGATGGTCTCATACCTGAAACTCCACATCGTATTAGTATTTCTCTCGGCTGTTTTGGTGGGCACAGGGAGTGTTTTCTTTGCCACCAAGAATCCGAAGAAACCAAAATCTTGCTTCAAATTATGGGTAGCTTCTTAGATAGAAGCTGCTTGAGTGTAAGGCTTTGTTACTGCATCATTGCAGAAATAACTGGCTCTGGGTGTATTGATTGCAGCAGCACCGTAGTTAGCGCGGCAGGCTGCAGTTGGTGGGGCGATGACAGAGCCAACTTTGGGAGCAGCGAGAGCTGCATTCTTTTAAAATGATTTCATCTCAAAAAGTGTGTTGGGAATTTCTGGTCCCGGGGCCCTGCGTGGTTGGATGTTCCTTCTGCCGGCAGCATGAGGGCTGGGATCGGGAGCAGTGGTTGGTGGTGGCCATTCCATGCTGCAGGCTCACCAGCGAGATGTCCCACATAGGCAGTGGGAGCTGTGGTGGGAGGGCTGGTGGGTGTTGGTGGCCACTCTCAAGGGCACAACCCCAACCACGTTTCAGCCACCAGCTCATGGCCCCCTCCGAGTCCCACCTTGGCCAAGCTCCTCTTTGAGAAGGGCATTGCTGTGCCATTTGGTTTGCTGTCTCCTACCCCAGTGTGGAGCTCTTGCATGGGTCCTTTGGAGACTGCTGCCCACTGGGTTTGTAGTCAGTGACAAGATGGGCTGATGGCTAGGGGTGTCTGAGCTGTCCTAGGATCATCCTACCCTGCACACGGCTCAGTGGAAAGGAAGCTTGCTGAAGGGCTGGAGGACCAAGGGTTGCTTCCCAAGGTGATACTCCTTGCCTACAGAAAACCCATGCATGAAGCAGGTAGTGTGTGTGTGATGAAGAGCTTTTTGAGATCATCAGGATGGAGAAGTCTACATGAATAGTGAGAGGCCATGGCAAGGTGGAAGGCACTCCTAGCAGGTCCTCTGCCTTCCAAGTCTTCCAAGTGGTAAATCCATGCGTTCATGTTCCATTTGCCATGCAGACAGGTACCATCTTGGAGGCTCTGTATTAGCTTAGCTGTCTAGAGCCAGAGAACATTGCATACAGGTATTATAACCAACAGGCTCTGGCTTCCAAATTACCAGCTCCTCCTGTAGTACTAACAGTGAAGGAAATGTCCTAGTTCCTGCTGCCTAGAGGAGAGCACTCTCCATGTCTTCACATGCATCTACCATGTGCTCTCCATTAGAGGGCAGAAGCATGATAAAATAATCCCAAATTACCTGCCCTGTGCGTCACGTACCTTAGGGGAGGTGGGACATCACCGCAAATGGCCAGACAGCTACCCCTCCTAGAAAGAAAAAGAAGCAAGATCTGGTTCTTGAAGGGTTAATTTCTATGACTTGGGCTGACTTGTGGCCTTTGTAGCACCTCCTTCTGTTTAAAGGTGGAAATAGATTTAATATATGGTAAGTGCCAACGTCTCACAGATTTGTTAAATGCTAAGTAATACAGTAATTACTCATTTTTCAAAAGACTGACAACTCTGATGATAGAAAAATGCCAAAAAGATTGTTTTTAAATAGTGACAATCATTAGGAGAGCATTTTGAGGATGTTAATAGCCTTCTGTGAGCGTTCCTGTTTGACAGCCCTCCTGTGCCAGCTGCGCTGCACTGCTGTATCTCATTTCTATATGCATGTAATCCTCTGTTGTAATAAAGGTATTGCCCATAATTACAAAGGGAAGTCATTAGTTTCTGTTGGATGCAGTGGCACAGCAGAAGCCAAGAGCTTGGCCTGAAGCAGATAGTCCAGGGGTAGTCCAGACCAACAATTTCACCTTCTTTGTTGTCCTCTGGGTGCCCTTGCAGTGGTGATATTTATGACGTGGGCACGTTCTCCCTAGGAGCTGGACCACATCCACAGACCTAGCCTTTCAGGTTTGAGCTGTCACCAGCAGGGAACGCCAGGCATTGCTGGCTGCCTCGCAGGGCTATGAAGGACACGCAGGAACCGGTGGGAAGTGCTGGCGCTGGCGGAAGATCCGGATACCTGGAGATGAGCCTGGTGCAGGCTGTTGTCAGGGCATTGGTTGCACAGATGCGTGAGCTGGAGGGAAGCTGGTGTGCCAAGAGTGACATTTTAGTTCTCAGGTGCTAAATTGTAACTCAAACTGGAGGGCAGAGAATTAGGGGAAACGTAGAATTCCAGATTAATCATAACCATTTCCTGGAGACACTCTTGGGTGTTGGGGGAGGTTGGTGCTCTTGAGTAACTGAGGTTTTACATCAGCTTGAAATGGAAGAAAAATGTTGGTTCTATTCTCTGTTAATATTTACAAGGGCCTGTAGGGACAGGCCAAGGGGAATGGCTTTAACCTGCCAGAGGAGAGACTGAGATGAGCTCTTGGGCAGAAGCTCTTCCCTGTGAGGGTGCTGAGGTGCTGGCACAGGGTGCCCAGAGAAGCTGTGGCTGCCCCATCCCTGGCAGTGTTCAAGGCCAGGTTGGACACAGGGGCTTGGAGCAACCTGCTCTAGTGGAAGGTGGAACCAAATGGTCTTCAAGGTCCCCTTCCAACCTAACCAATGTGATATGATTCTGTGAATTCATCCTGGGCTTCAGGAGCAGAGGCCAGGGGTTGAAACAATGAACTTCTGCAGCTGTGATCTCAGAGGGGTTGAATGATCATGGGTTAACCCATTACCCTTTTACAGAGACTTCATCTGCTATCAAGGGTTTAGGTGTCCCGCTATGTGTGCTGTGCTCCCTGCTTTGCCCATTCTGGAGGGAGGGGGCTGCATCATCCCCTCTGGAGGTTGGGGGGTTGTTTTCACTGGTCCAAGCCATGCTCCTCAGGAGGCTTCTCCTCGAAGGTGAAGGAGGCACAATCACTGCATGATGCAAGAGGCAATCTGAGTTTAACACAGGTTGAAACAGACCCGTGAAGTGCTGTTACTGCAGGGCTGAGGTTTTCCTGCATGCTCTGGAGCTCCCCTCTCCCTTCATCGCTTCACTCTCCATTGGGAGCCTCAAGACTCTTGGATGAGGATGGAGATGAGGATGGCCCAGGGGTTACCTATGGGGTGGCATGCTGTCCCCACCTCATCACAGCCCCATGGGATCAGAGGCACAATCCCTCTGTCAAGAAAAAAAGCGTAAATCATGATGCTCCTTGTTTTCACAGAGGCGTTTTCGGTGTGGAGAGGTTTTTCTGGTGCTTTATCGGGAATGGACTTTACAGTTAGGCAGATAATACAGATGAATTGCTAAGCATGGAAATGGTAGAAGGTGAATCAGCCTCAAATTGGTATTTTAGTACAAGAATTGCTTTTTGGTGAACCTGAGAATGACCTGGATCGAGCAGTTTTGAAGGAACCAAACACTTCTGCATGCATTTACTAGTTCAGTAACTTGATTCAATGACAGTTGATAGCCATACCTTAAAAGTGAGGAATCGGGAGCAAGCTGCATGGGAAGAGAAAGAATTCTTCAATGTAAAACATGGAAAACAAATCAGTGGAGTTGGTGAGCACGGCAGGAGCACCGGAGCACTGGTTACCTCATTGGCATAACCAGCCCATGGGGTCCCAGCACAGCCCCTGGTGCTGCAGACCTTCTCAGGGTGCTGTGGGCTGGACATTTGCTCCTGGTCATTGTCTTCAGAGAGGCGGTAGCATGGAAATGCCAGCCCTGGCTGGCTCCATCCTGTAGATAAGGAACTCCCAGCCCTTAGGACCCATTTGGTTAGACATGGGAACAGGCTGTCGGGGCCAGGAACCATGGAGCAGGGTCCAGCCTCTGACACACACCAAGTGATGTGCTGAAGGGGGGTGGAGGCTGCTGGCAGGAGCAGTAATGTCCAGAAACACCAGCAGCTATTTCTGGCAGCAGAGGGGGAAGGAACACAAGGCAGGTAAGTGCCTGGGCTGCACGCGGGGTGTGGGGCTCGCTGGACGGGGTGATGGAGCAGGGGTTAATTGGAAGATCCGGCTCTTGTTGTCCAGAGAAATGCAGATCTGGCCTTGAAACATTTCCCAAGGTCTTGGCACTTCATTTCGTAGCTGTGTCTCATGCTCTGATTATTCCCAAGGCACTCGCTATCGTTGGATGTCGTCTGACTGTCTCTCACTTGCTGTTTGTTTCTGTGGTGGCATGTTGATAAGGTATCTGGTTATGTCTTGCAGCCCTCAGAATCCAAGCCCAACGTCACCCCTCTCACCGTCCTGGCCCATGTTCTCTGCGCCATCAAGTCCTATGCCCACCTCCTCTACGTCCAGCGACTCATCCCCCATCAGGTCTGTTGCAGAATTCGCTTTGCTTTTTGTTGCTTTTGCTATTTTCTGTTTGATTTACTCGGTTTCCCCCACTTCACTTCCCTTCTCCCTTCACATCCTGCTCAACCTCCCCTGTGCAGCTATCTGCACTCAGCAAGAGAGGAGCTTTCCAACATCTCCCACCCCAGGAGGGACCCTCTGAGCCCCCCGGCAGGCGCCTGCTGGCCTTGTGGGTGATGCTCGGTGTCACTGGTGGTTTCTGTGGGTTTGCCCAGGCATTTCAGCTCCTGCGATTTGCTGTACTCCTCTCTGCACAGGTAAGATGTGTAACGTGTAACCTTAGTAAAATGCGGTAATACCTCATTTTCTGGCCACTTCCTTTTCTTACCTGAAATCTAAGGAGGATAAAGAACACATGAGTGCACAGGCAGCATTCAGGACCTGTGCTGCAGGTACCAGGGATGCTCGAGGGAGAAGCCGGGGCAGCATCCCCTCTGCTCTGTGTGCAGGGTGGGATGGGATGTCCATCCTCCGAGCCCATCCTGGCGCAGAGGAGCACGAGGCCGATGTGGTCCCCAGCAGAACGTGGCTCCCAGCCCTTGGCAGGCGCAGGCGGCTCCGATCCCTGCTCCTGGGGAGACGTGTCAGACCTGTTTGTTCATGACAGGCACAGACCAAGCTCTTCCCCCACACCTACAACACGCGAACGCTGCCTGTGCAGCGCTGCCTGCTCCTCTGGGTTATTTATTTGTGTTGTGTGTGTCTCAAAGGCTGACAGCGGCGTGATGCCACCGAGCAGCCTTCCTCCTCCGGGGGAGAGGCTCATCATCCCTGAAACTGCACAGGGGCAGATGGGTGAAGCTCCTGAGTGCTTTGCTGGCCTTGTGCCATGCTTGGAGGCACAAACCTAACTTGAGCGATCATGGGGTCCAGCATTTCAATCCCTGATGACTGCAGGGCTCATGGGTGCAGTCACAGCTGACGGGCAAGGGGCAGGCTGGGGCTGTAGGGGTGCTGGGCTGCAGAGGTCAGTTTAGGGGGAGAAAAACAACAGCTTCAATGATTCAAGGTAGTCAGCCAGAAAATACCTTTTGTTTCCCATCTGACAGTCTCCTCCAGCTCTGCTCAAGTGGTGCCTCCCTGGCACTGAAGGACGCTCTCTGGAGCAGGAGGAGTGTTTGCCCATCCTGGGTTTTAAGTGTTTGGCAGCTGCTCGTGTCAGGCAGCTGGAATCCAGAGAGAAGAGCCCTCCATGTTGGGGCTGTCTTCGCAGCAAAACCAAACCCGTTCACAGCTTCCCTGGGCTGTGGTTTCAGTGTGAACTGCTTTAGCCACGAGGTGAAAGTATGATGCTTCCCTGAGCTCGCTCGGGGAGGGTTCTGAGTAAGATCAAGTCCTTGGGAAGATAAAAGTTGGTGAAACCACTGATATGAGGAGCGGTGACACCTGGTTCCTACCCCAGCAGCTCTGGGGCTCTTCCGTCACTTCCCTGGGTTGTACCATAGCTGAGCACCCTGCTGCTGGATGCAGCCTCCCGGCCGATGGGCAGGTTCCCACCATCGCTGGGTGCTGCCCCAGCTTTCCACCAGTCTTCCTGGTTCCCAAACCCGGGAAGGATGGGTGGGAGGCTCCAGGAGCAGGGGACCGCTCTCCGTGCCTGCGCTTTGCTGCCGGGGAGCTGAGGTCCTTCATCTTCTCCCTGTGTCTGCCAGCGATCTGCTCCATTTCTGGCTCTCTCTGCTCTCATTCCCTCCTCCGCAGCGTGGGCATGCTGACACTTCCCCACTAAAATCTAATGGATCTTAAATCTTTTTTATCTTCAGGTACAGTCTCTAAAGAAGCGCTGCAAATTCTTCCCAGACCTCCTTGCTTTTCTGTTTTGAAACACACTTCCCCAAGGGCTGATTCTTCCTCATGAAACCCTCGTTGTGGCTGCAGCTGTGCTGGCAGAGCGATGGCTTTGGCAGCGAGCGGGGCCGGTGGGCTCCTGCTGCCGCCTTTGCTCCGTGCTGGCCCTTGGGCTGGGTATGGCCCTTCGGAGACTTCCAGAACCTTCCCAGTTCCTGGGGAGCTCCTAGTCCCTGCCTTAGGGCTGCCGGTTCTGTGGGCACCAGGCATGGGCTGTGGTTCAGCTCAGCTCACACTGGGGTTTGCAGTGTGGTGAAACACGGTGCTGGGGGCTCATCCCCGAGAGCCTTCAGCCTCCTCTGGTGTCCTCCTCACTCTTCCCCCAAGCAGCGTAACCGTGGACCCTTGCAGAGCAGTGAAGGTCCTTGGACCCCTCTTCGACACGCACCCCTCGCATGGACCCCTCAGGTGCAGCGGGGAGGGGATGTTGTTGCCTGTGGGCAGAGCGGGGTTTGTACCAATACGTGTTCTCTCTTTGCAGCTCGCCGCTGCGGAAAGCCCGAGCCTTGTACGCCTGCAAAGCAGAACACGACTCGGAGCTCTCCTTCACGGCGGGCACCGTGTTCGACAACGGTGAGTCCCTCACCCGGGTGCCTGTGGGAGCGAGGGCAGATGGGCTCGTTTCTCAGGCTGCAGTTCCCAGAGTGTTGGAAGGGCAGGATCACAAGAGCTGTGCCGTAGGAGCCAGGCTTGCTCCGTGCCCGGTGCTGGGCTTCACCAGGGCAGGGTTTGCTGCTGAGCAAGGGCAGAGCATGGAGGGAGGAGGGGACGGACGGGGGGTGTTTGTAGCACACCATCAAATTGACATGAATGACGCTACAGGGCCAGTATTAACAGCAAAACAAATAAAGCTACAGAGCAGGACACTTGCTATTACTTATTTTAGCACTGAGTTTTCCAAATTACTGGAGTTTTTTTCCTGTGACCCAGGGAAGGATTTGGACTCTCATGAGTGCTTCACGGGTTTCATTTCAGTCCCCTATTTAAGGACTGTCCCACTCCCACCACTAGAAATCCCATGGAAGAAGAAAGCAGCTATACTTGAAACGCAGGCATTAAATCTGAGCTGTATCTTGCCTTACTTTACTGAGAACAGCTGATCATTCAGGAGTCTTTAGGATCCGTGTGAAAACTGCCTTTACAAGCTCCTGATTTATTACCTAAGGGACATAAATCTTAAGGGAGATGTGTGAAATAGGAGGAATGAGTAGGTGGGAATCTCCTTTCCCCCGGAGAAGAGCACAGGGGGTCACTCCGGTAGAGATGTCCCCTTTGCTACCTCCCCGGATCAGCGGGTCCTGCTCCATGTTCCACTTGTCACCCTGCCCATGCCCGTGGTGTCAGAGCTGCTGCCCGATGCTCTTCGTGTCCGTTTGGGGCTGTGACCACGTGTCCCACCAGGATCCAGACCCTGGATTTAAATGTGAGGGGGAACTGGTGAGCATTGACTGACACCGGTGTTTACCATATACAGAGCCATTCCCCAGTGGCCTTCTCGGTAGGAGAGATTAGTTTCCAAGTATCAGCACCAGAAATATTCTATGCAGTTGCCATAATGTTTCATGCAGGAGGGGGAAAAGTAACGTGTTTTTTTCCTGTGCATCCTGGGAGCTGGAACAGGGTGGGCTCTGGTTAGTCAGCTTTCTGGAGACCACGTTAATGAACACGAACTGTCTGTTTCCTGCATCAAGTGAAAGAGACTGCGCCCCATGGACTAAAGCAGCTCTGGTTTAGATATAATCCCAATGTAAAGAAAAGACTTTTTACTACTTTCCAACTAGTTCTTGGCTTTTATATGTTAAGCATTGTCATTTGGGAAACTGCTACCACATGCACTGGTTTTGCCCTGGGATATATATGAGAATATAGCAGAGAAGGGTAGAGAACATGTGAATTAAAGAAAATACTTCTTCTAATCAGCTCCATAGATATCTTATAAATAAACATGGTCTCCCCTAGGAGAGCCCGTGGGAATTAAAGCAGCTACGAGGGGAACAAGTTTGAATTAAATACATTGTGTTTGCTAGATAAAAATCAATGGATTATTCAGGGGCAAAACCATACAGCATGTTCTAATCACTTAGCAGCCCAGCTGAGGCTCACGTTAGCTGGGGAAGCAGTTGGGAACAGCACTGCTTGGTGGAGTGTTGTTATGATGGAGGGGCTTTATAAAACCCAGCGAAAGCAGATGCATCTTGGAAGTACTTAGAGACACGTTCTTGTTTGATTTGAAGGTTCCCTGAGGGTGCACGTGGCTGAGCAGCATCTCGGTCTGACGGGGACATCAGGGTGGTGCTGCCTGCACCGAGTGGCAGCCGCACAGTAACTAACACTGTGTTTGTGGGGTCCATTTAAACTCCAGAGAGCTGGTCCTTTCAGCTACAGGAAACCTGGGTTTTCCAGCAGATCTTTACACTAAATGGGAGGGATCTGTGGAGGCCTGAAATTGGGGAAGGTGGGAGTCACGGGTCAGGACAGGGATGCTCATGTGTGGTTTTAAGTAGCTATCACCCCTGAAATGGGAAACTCTGTCTTCTGAAGCCATGAACCCCCCACCTGAGCTGGTTGTGTTGTATTTGTGCTCTAATTCTGTAAGTGAGAATGAGATTCCCCCTCTCTGCTGGTGCGCTCTGCTCTGTGTGACAGCCCCTGCCCAGAAATAGATGTCTGTCTTTGGGACTTAAGTGATTTTTTAAGGCAAAGGCTGGAACTCACGTGACTTTCGGTTAAAGCACTTTCCCAGCCCATTTGCTGAGACCAGGGGGCTGGAGACACAGACACACACACACCACTTACCAGTTCCTTACTCCTGGTGGCCGCTGTTGGCTGGCAGGGGCACTGTGAAGTCTCTTCTCCAAAACGGACGTAACCCAATCATTTCTAATGCAGTTTTGCCCTTGGGGGCTTTCTTTGCAGGCTGAAGGTGGCATTTGTCCTCTGAGGGGACTGCTTTAGCCTGCGGTGGTTGAAAAGCCCCAAGACTTGGGGTGTAAGCATGGAAAAAAAGAAGTGGCACAAGTGAAACCCAAAAATGTGTAAATTTAGGAGCTGGAAGACCACAGCTCTTGAAACAAGTTAGTGTTCAAGGCCAGATTGGATGGGCTTTGGAGCAACCTGGTCTGGTGGAAGGTGCCCCTGCCTGTGGCAGGGGGTTGGAACTGGAGAATCTTAAAGGACCCTTCCAACCCAAACCAAGTCTGGGATTCTAGGATTCTGTGGTTTGTATTTGTCATTAATAAATCACTATATACTGTATTCCTCTGCCCACATACCCAATAGTGATGGACTGAGGAACTGGCATAACCATTGGCATAACCCTGGCTCCTGTAAAAGCAGCAGAGTTTCAGCAGTTGGTTGACTAAAGAAGGAGTTGAAGGGTTTTGAGGACTGACCACGTTTCTCATTTCACAGAAATACAGTTGCAGACTTTGGTCTCCTACTGGGAGCGTTTCCTGATGCGTTTTCTCCCCCAGCCTGGTCCAAGCCGGGATGTGCAGGGTTATGCTGTGATGGAGTTAACCACCTACTCTCAAACTTCAAAGACATTTTAGTCCATATCTGGAGGAAGTTTTGAGCCCCTGTGTTTATCACTGATGCTTTACTTACGTCAGCCCAGCACCAGAATTTGGAATCCCAGCCCATAGCCCGGCGTGTGGCTCACTTGGTCCTTCTGTTGGTTTCACTGTTGGGTCCCTGACACTTTATAAAGGACAGGCAGAGGAGGCCCAGGGTGAGCACTCCAGCTTCCTGAGCTCCTTAGCATATTAGTATACTTACTTTAAAATAAACACAAATTAAAGGTCTTGTTCTCTCCCTTGAGGACTGTGATGTTTTCAGCTCACAGAGAGCAACAGCCCCTGTGCCGTCACCCCTGAGGTAACCTGCCTTTTCCTTCTCTCCTCAAGTTCATCCATCACAGGAGCCTGGCTGGCTGGAAGGGACCCTCAATGGCAAGACAGGATTAATCCCTGAGAACTACGTGGAGTTCCTATAACTTTGGGCACAGGAAGCGCCACCGCTGAGCTTTCCATGGTATCCATGGCAGTCGCTGGCAGGACTGTTTTGCTCTCTGCGACGCAGGGTGAGGACTTCCCCATCCCCACTGAGATGAACGTTTGTGTGGACAGAACCGTGCTCCTCTCCCCGTGTGCTCTGGGGCTGTGGAAGGAGCAGTCCTGGGGATGTGGCTCTACTCCTCCAGCCCCAACCCAAGGCAATGATGCCCAAAGCCCACGTCCCAGCACGGAGCCATCACAGCAGTGAGAAAACCAGCAAAGCAGCAGCTCCACACCACAACCTGCATGCTCCAGAGGTGCCAAGCCTGCCAACTGTGAACCAGCATGAGAGACCCACCAGCCTGTGCTCCCTGCGGTGACACTGGTTGCCACCTGTAAAGAAGGGAGCAGAGGGACCCCAGCTCATCGTCCTCCCCGCTGGAAGAAGAGCAGTCAACAGCAAGGAGCCCTTTGCTCTCAGCCCCTTCCCCGCCTTCCAACCAGCTCCAAGCAGATGAGGAGCAACCCAGCCCCTTCTCCTGTGTCCAGGGAAGGGGTGAAGCACCTTTGGCTGATGCCTGTTTTTTTCAGGAGGCTGTGGGTCCCACACTGTGCTGCCGCAGCAGAGCTCTGCTCTTGCAGGCGAGAGCGATCCCACACGGGGCTCTGCAGCGCCGGCACCATGGAGTGGGGATATGTGGGACCAAACCTCTCTCAAACTGTCTTTTTTTAAAGGTCGAACTTTCTGCAAGGCAAACGTCCGTGATCTGAGGCAAACAACCCACGTTTCCTTCCTGGAGGGCAAGATGCAGCTCCAGATAAATGCCACTCCTTCTGTTGATGGGCTTGTTTGTGTCTCCATTTCCGATGCACGTTGCACAGACACATCCATGCTTTCTCGAATGCCCAGGCCACTGATTTAGTGCCATTCTGGGGCTGCAGTTGCCACTCTCCACTCGTTGCTTTTTAGGTGGTCTCGTGCGTGCAGCTCCATGCGTGTAGTCTGTCTGTGCCAAGTCTGTGCAGTCCCGGTGTGCAAGGTAAATTATTCCCATGCTCATAGGACATTTGGTGGTGGTGTGGCCAGAAAACAAAGGACAGGTCCTTCAGCTTCACCACTGCTCTGTTCGTGCCCGGGAGAGGATGCTCCTGCCTCCATGGACATGCAGAGTGGATTTGAAATCCCTCACTATTCCAGGTTGTTTTAAAGGGAGAGGGTGGGAGAAGGAGCCCAGCGTGCCTGCGGAGCCGGGCTGGCCGGGTGGCACGTCAAGAGCTGGAATGATTATATGTTGTGGTAGAGAATGGTGGAAGAACCCCCAGAGTCCTGGCAGCAGCAGCGCTGGGGGGCGGGTGCTGTGTCTTTTGTAGTAATTTTACAGACTGACTGAATTGCTGTACGTGTCACTTTTTATTTTTGAAAGAATTAATGTATAAATAGAGTATCTTAAAATATTATGAGGGAAAGATCTATATTTGATATTTTTAGAAGACCTGTAACGAGAGAAGCGAAGGACATTTGAAACCAGTTACAGAGAAGTGCTTGCAAACACATCCACAGCCACCCTCAGACCCTGGGCTGCCTTTTTGTCCGCTTTGTGGTGTCACTTAGAAATGAGGGAATCTGAAATCTCAGACCTCTTCGTGTTCGTTACAGTGATTAAACCTCCGGGACTTTTGTCTTGGGGAAAAAAAAGAGGAAAAAGTTGATCTTCTTTTCCTGATTTCCAGGGCGGGCGCAGCACAGCTCATCTCGGGGTTGTAACCTCGCTGTCAGGGAGGCACTGGGCACATTGCCCCGTTGGGGGTGTCTGGGCAGGGGTGAAGCCTCCAAACTCCCGTGTTTTCTGCTTTGAAGCAATGGATGAAGAGGGCCAATAGGTCTGTAGGGATAAAAGCCAGTGTTTCACTGTCCTTGCTCATCCTTGGATTCAGGACTGAACACTTGTACCACCTATTGATGCTCCCAGAGCAGAGGATCGGGCTGGGCTATATCCAGCCCCAGCAGTTGCTGGGACCTCAGGCGCTGCTCAGAGCTGGCTTTGGCATCTCCACTGCTGGGGCAAGCACTACAGAGACCCCTGTCCAGGGGTGCAGGGGAGGGGTGGGAAGGGCTGATGGAAAGGAGGGGAGAAAAAAAAGGCTATTTTGCCTGTCAGATTGTGTTCAGGATTGTCCTGTCCTGAGCTGCTCCTCCAACATGGAATCATGGAATGGTTTGAGTTGGAAAGGACCAACCTGGCCTTGAACACTGCCAGGGATGGGGCAGCCACAGCTTCTCTGGGCACCCTGTGCCAGCGCCTCAGCACCCTCACAGGGAAGAGCTTCTGCCTCAGAGCTCATCTCAATCTCCTCTCTGGCAGGTTAAAGCCGTTCCTTTTGGCCTGTTCCTACAAGCGCTTGTCCAAAGCCCCTCTCCAGGTTTCTTGTCATCCCCTTTGGCGCTAGAGCTGCTCTGAGGTCTCCCTGGAGCCTTCTCTTCTCCAGGCTGGACAAGCTCGGGATGCTGCTTGAGCCGGTGGCTTTCCCAGCACAACCTTCTGTCCCAAACACGACTCTCAGCCTTTGTACTGGGGGTGTTCTATGGACAAATGAGAGCCCCAGACACATCAGAACTGCTCTAAAAGGCATATTTAAGGGATGTGGTGTTTGGGGACCTCTTTCCTAAGGCTGCAGGAGCAGCAGCACAGGCTGCCCTGTCCCAGCCAGCTGCTGCCAGTCCTTATCCTCACAAAACCTCTCAGTGCAGTGTCCACCTTTGCCTCTTCGGATACTCAAGTTATTCTGAGAGGAGAGTAAATTCCTTTTCCTATGCTCTCAGGAGCTTCTGGATATGCTACCTACAGAGTTATTGGGAGCAGAAGTCCCACGCAAACGTCTTTACAAGATGTCCTGTGGAGGAAGGGAAAGCAAAGCAGCAGCAGAAGTTATTGCTCTTGCAGGGGAGCGAGTGGAATATTCTTTTTTAATTAAAACTTCCCAAAAAGCAAGCTATGGCTGAAACTCCGAGTGAACCTTCCCACCGTGGGTGAGCTCCAATAATGGAGCAAACAGTGGTTTATTCTGAGAGAAATTAAAGATAGAAAATAGCTTTTTAAACCAGCTTGACATGACATTTTATGTTGAATATTAAAGTCATCAGTCGACGTTACAAGCAAGCAGGGTGTCCAGAGGTGGAGCCGGTCCTGCGCTCCCCGGCCCAGCAGCTTAGGCAGTAAAGCAGAAAAGGAAACAGACACGGTGCAGCAATATCTGTTCAAACACAAGTCCTGGGGTACGGTCCTGCCATGTTTCGAGTCAGTGGCGTGAGTCCCATCAGTTGGCTGTGGCCAGGCCACTGTCACCAGCCTTAGTCCCCGTGTCCTGGTGGCCACTGACACTCGTGGCACTTCTGAAGTCCCTGCGGGCCCACGGTCGAGCTGCCGGCACTTCTTCACTGATTTTGGGGGGTTTACAGCAGGGAGTGAAGCCTCTCGGATGCTTTGGGAGCACCCAGGCTGCTGCCAGCGCTCCCATCACACCTCCCAGTGCCCTGCTGCGTCTTGGAGTGGGTTTGGATGGGGCTTGGGCTGGGATTGGCATTGGCGTGGGTCGCGGTTGGGTTGGGTTTGGGTTGGAGCTGGATGCCTTTTTGAGCAGGGTGTTGCTCAATATGAACAACCATTTCAGACCATGACCATGACTTCTCACATTCCTGTCTGGCTCCACAGTCAGACAAAACATCCTCCTGGGCAGTGTCTGTCTCAAGAGGACTTCTGCCGGGTTCAGTGGCCTGAAGAGCAGCCCAGACCACCACAGCTCACCACAGCCGGGCTCCGTTACTGCTGTAACGTGGGGGTGTTGGGTGCTGTGTCCTCTGCACCTTAACCCGCAGGCGGGCTCCTGCTGGTCCCTCCACCTCAGGGAGCGTGGAGCTCTCTAGCCCAGACACAGAAGCTTTGCGATACTGATTTCAGGCTCAGCTGCAGTTGAAGCTCTGGAATGTTCCCTCGCACAAGGGTATCACTTATTTTAGTTTCACTTCTGCTGATGGCTTAAAAGCGGGCGGTGGGGAGGGACGGCAGCAGGATGCTCACCAGAGCCTCGTAACGCTGGTGCACCCAGGTCCTGCAGTATCCAGCTGATGGCTCTGTTTAAGTTATGGAGAGGAGTTACTCTGATTTATCCAGAGATTTCACATCACAAATCCAAACAGCTTCATGGAGTATTTAAGTCCCTGAGGTGTCTCCCAGAGCCTTTTCTTCATTTCTGGCCGCTGTCTGCCCTGAGGAGCGCTGGGATGCTCGGGCCGAGGAGCTGCATCCCCTCAGCTCTTTCTTTTAGACGTCTTTTCAGGAGGATCTTGTTTGGGGTCAGGACTCTGCCAGCCTGCACCTGGGGAAGCAGGAATATCCCAGGAGCTGGTGGTTGGGGAAGGGTGGGATCTGGTCCATTGGCTCCTCGCAGCCAGCTGGGATGTCGTCCTGCTCCCTGGAGACCTGTGGCCACGACTCAGGGCATGAGGGCAAGGAAGAAAGAGTGAAACCCAAATCCATGGGCGGTGCAGTGGGAGGTGAGGTGCAGGTAAGGGCTCAAGGCTCCAGGGACACCTTACAGCAGCTCCAGTGCTAAAAGGGCTTCAGGAAACCTGGAGAGGGGCTTTGGACAAGGGATGTAGGGACAGGACAAGGGGAATGGCTTTAACCTGCCAGAGGAGATTGGATCAATGCAGGGGCTGCAGGGGCAGCTGAGCAGCACCCACCAGTTCAGTGCAGCCCTGGGTGCAAGCGATGGGTCTGTAGCTGAGGAACGTTACCTACACAAAAAAAGCCCAGCGCTGAAGGGACCTGTTCTGCTTAGCAAGTGCATTTTAATTATTCTAACGAACTGGAGACCTCAAAGCAATTATAGTTCGTACATTCGCGCTAACTCCGATTTTCAGCTCTGGGAGATGGAGATGAGAAGCAAGGTGTTGGGTGTTTTAAGAAATAGCCATTTAAAGTTCCATTCTCTGGGCGAG